CCTGTCCTCCTTACCCTGCTTCCCTCGGTTGGCCCAGGGCAACCTCACCAGCGCCCAGGAGAAGACTCCGCAGTGGGGGCGCAGGCCAGCAACCGAGCCATCAACATAAGCGAACCCTGAGCATTCCCGCTTCCGGCTGCCGGGGTCCCCTGCCAGCCTCCGGGAGAGCGGGGTTTGTGAAATACCAGCCTCGTCTATGCCCTACGCTCACTCATGCTCCGGAGCCCCTGCTTACCAGCCACATGGCGCTCGGGGAGACCCTTCATCCCAAATGTGAGCCAAAGATCAAGTTTAATGATGTGGTCCCAAATTACACATCATTACACGACAGGAGGCCAAAGGAGGTCTCTCCTTCCCTACCAGAAACCTCTGCTTGTCCGCGCCTCTCTCTACAGGTAAGGCTGCCAGATAAGATACAGGGTGCCCGGTTACATGGAAACTTCAAATAAACATGAAAAAAATTTTAGTACAAGCATGTCCCCAATATTACATGTGACACATTGCTATTTAAAATGTTATTTGTTCCCTGTACATTTTTAGGATTATAAATGGGTCTAGCCGCTCTGGGAAACAGTATGGGGTTTCCTCGAAAACTTAGAACTACCGTATGATCCAGCCATCCCACTTCTGGGATGAAATTTCCTTTGGAAATGGAAACAGCTTCTCCGAGATATATCTGCACTCGCCCGGTGATTGCAGCATTATTTACAAGAGTCAAGACATGGAAACAACCTAAGCATCAATGTAGAAATGCACAAAGAAGGTGTGGTTTATGCATACAATGGAATATCATCCACCTGCAAGGAAAAAGGAAATCCTGCCACTTGCGACAACAGAGCTATAAGGCGTGATATCACCTATATGTGAAATCTAAAAAAAAACAAAACAAATTCATAGACACAGCATAGAGTAATGACCACCAGCGCCTGGGAGATGGAGGAAATGGGGAGATACTGGTCAAACCGTACAAACTTCCAATTATAAGACAGATAAGTTCTGGGGATCTGATGTATGGGATGGTGAGCATCTAGTTAATGATGTTGCATTATGTTCTTGAAGATTGCTTAGAAAGTAGATCTTAAATGTTCTCACCACAAAAAAGAAGTGGCAAATATATGAGGTGACGGAGACGTTAGCTGGAGCTCCGGGGGCAATCATTTCACGATATGGGAGTGTCTCAACACCTAAACTCACACCAATGTCGTATGTTGATTATATTTTGATAAAGGTTAAAAAAAAAAGGAAATTGCCTAAAACATGATGTGCTTCTCTGGAGGCTAGAAGGCACATGAGATAGTATGGGAAATGCTCAGGGCGGAGCGAAAGGCTGTGTTGATACAGTGTTGTGAATTTTTAAATAGATTGGCATTTTTAGGTGATAGAAAAAGCTTTAGGGTAGCCCGGGTGGCTCAGCAGTTTAGCACCGCCGTCAGCCAGGGCCTGATCCTGGGGACCCGGGATCGAGTCCCACATCAGGCTCCCTGCATGGAGCCTGCTTCTCCCTCTTCCTGTGTCTCTGCCTCTCTCTTTCTCCTCTCTGTATATTCTCACGAATAAATAAATAAAATCTTTTAAAAAAATAAAAAAATAAAAAGCTTTATTTACCATGCAATTCTTCTTTTAATCAAATGACATTTGTTGGTGAGGCACTAATGTAGTGCATGTGTGGGTGCGCACGCGTGTGTAATGTCTCCGGGGACAGCCTGAATTCTCCTTCAGCTGTTGGGCTGCCTGCCCCGCAGATTCCTGAGATTACACCTTAAACTATAGTTAACTAGTAAATTAGCTTCTCTATCTCTTGGTAGCCCGCCGAATAAGCAGGCTGCTTCGACTGTGGGCATATTATGGCCGAGGGTTTAACACAGATAAAAGGAGGGGCACCTGGGTGGCTCAGTGGTTGAGCGTCTGCCTTTGGCTCAGGTCATGACCCCGGGGTCCTGGGATTGAGTCCCATGCCGGGCTCCTTGCATGGAGCCTGCTTCTCCCTCTGCCTGTGTCTCTGCCTCTCTCTCTCTGTTAGCAGAGCACACAGAGGGAAGCAGAGACACAACCAGAGGGAAAAGCAAGCTCCCCACAAGGACCCCGATGCGGGACTCGATCCTGGATCCCAGGATCAGGACCTGAGGTGAAGGCAGATGCTCAACCGCTGAGCCATCCAGGCGTCCCTAAACATAAATTTTAAAACTGCCTGCAGTTTTTCTGTAAGTTCGATATGGCTACAGAATAATAATTTAAAAAAGAAAATCAAGGCTCAAAGACTTAAATAACCTGACCAAGTCCACGTGGATAACAGGTGGCTACTCCAAATTGCAGCTTGGAGGTATCCAAGCCCCAGATCTCCAACCTCAACCTCACCCACGTGGCCCTGGAAGTCCCAGCTGCCTCCCCTGAGGCCCTGCAAAGTCCACCCAAGAGGACCCCTCTTCCTGCTCCTTCACCTGCAGAACAGTCCTCCCTCACCCAAGCCATGTTGAGGGCCTCTTGATGGAACTGGTCCCCCACCAGCCCCAGCTCCCCTCTCCCACCCAGCCAGCACCCACCCTGAGGTGGTGGCAGGCAGCAGCAAGGCTCCAAATGGACCCTGGCCGGCTCCCCGCTCCTAGGAGTGGGGTTCTCTTAGCTGAACCCCCACACTCCAAAAAGTTCTCTCAGTCTCCCCGAGGATCTCAAGATTTTTCAGACCACTCATAGGTCAACATGGTGTTTTTTCCTGCCTTAGTTCCCCGTTGTTACCATCCCTATGGAGAGAGTCCCCCCTAGTCAGGGGGCTTGAGCAGGGACTCTCATCAGTCAGGGCTTTATGTGCTTCTCCATCATTTAAAGGAGTCAGCCCTGCAGGTTACAGACCTCACCCATAGCCCAGATGAGAAACTGCTGCTGTCCTGTGACCTTCCAGGCGCGGCCCTGCCTCCTCTGGCTCAGCCAGAGCAAAGTGGGGCGTGCAAAGGTTCACCTGAGACTCTGAACCATGTGCTCATCAATGTAGCCGTGGGCTCCGGAAGCGGGGGCCAGGAGGCCGGGGAGGGCGGTAGGCAGCTCAGTGGTGAGACAAGCCCCATGACCCATGGCTCGTCCTAGCTCCACCTGGCCACCTTCGGCTTAATCCATGGCTTCTGCATGGCCTAGAAGCAAAGGGCACCCCCTCCCAGAGCTGAAGAGGCTCTGGAGCTGGAACAGCCCCAGGAAGGGGTCACATGGAAACCTCCCTGTAAGGTGCTGATCTGTCCCTTTGCTCCCCCGGGAAGAGGGTGCAGCCCCGCTATATTCACTCCTGCAGGTGGGCATGTGGGGGCAGGTGGCGGTGGTCCCGTGCAGGAGTCAGCAGCCGGGCCCAGGCCCAGGCCGTGTGCATCCGCCGGTGCCTGGGCATGTGCGCTCACCCTTCACGGCCGGGGAAGCTGGCAGGGGGAGCGAGCCCCCCCGCCACCCCGTGAGGTGTCTCCCTGCTTACGGGCCTGGTGTTGCTTTCTAGCAATGAAATGCCAGGACACCTGCACCCCGATGTTTCTAGCAGCAATGTCCACAATAGCCGAACTGTGGAAGGAGCCTCGGTGTCCATCAAAAAATGATGGATAGAGAAGCTGTGGTCTATGTATACAGTGGAATATTCCTCAGCCATTAGAAATGACAAATACCCACCATTAGCTTCCATGTGGATGGACCTGGAGGGTATGATGCTGAGTGAAATAAGTCAATCGGAGAAGGACAAACATTATATGGTCTCATTCATTTGGGGAATATAAAAAATAGTGAAAGGGAACAAAGGGGAAAGGAGAAAAAATGAGTGGGAAATATCAGAAAGGGAGACAGAACATGAGAGACTCCTAACTCTGGGAAATGAGCAAGGGGGAGCAGAAGGGGAGGTGGGCAGGGGGGTGGGGGTGATGGGCACTGATGGGGGCACTCGACGGGATGAGCACTGGGTGTTATGCTATATGTTGGCAAATTGAACACCAGTAAAAAATAAATTTATTTTAAAAAAAAAAAAAGGAGCCCTAAGTGCCCCTCCAGCCTGAGTGCCCTGTGAGGGAATGTCACTGTGTAAATAAGACGGCTGCTTCCTGACTGGCCCTTCTGTGAACAGAGGCCCTCGTGACAGGGGCCTCTCTGGGGTGGAGAGGGACCCGGGAGCCTGCAGCCGCATAAATGGTGCTGCCGGCCTCTCCCCTCCGGCCTGAAGGCAGAGATCCACAAGGGCTCTGTTGTCTGGGTGAGTTTACCCCATCCCTGCGGTCTTGCCCAGTTGACGGGTTGCAGGCCGTGAGAGGCAGCCCAGTGGTCACGAGCCTAAAAGGGCCAGACCGGGAAGGAGGGGGCCTCCCCATGGACCACTGGGAGTTGTTCCCAGAAGCATAACTATGGACGCAGGAAGGCGGGCTTGCAGACGTCCTCAAGCCCTGCCATGCTCCTCGGCCAGGCCCACCCTCCCTGGGGACTCTGCAGAGCCTGCCAGTGAGGAAGAGGATGGCCTGCCAAGGGGAAGGGGACACCCCAGCGGTGGGGAGGGGACAGGACACCCCATTGCTGGCCCTGGTCATCTCTTATTTTTCCTCAAGAGCATGGTCCCTTAGACCCTGCAAGTGAGGGTAGCTGAGGGTAGAAGGACAGAGGGAGGGAGTGACCCCATCCCTCCTCCCAACAGCCTGGGAAGGACAGGTCAGGGTTGTCTCCAGGGCACAGAAGTCAAGACAGGAGACGTGAGTTCCCACTGTCACACCATGAGGTGTGAACAGAGACTGCATCAGAAGCCAGGCCCTCTGACCAGCCCAGGTACACGCCACCTCCAGCCCCAGAGGTGGGGCGTGAGACCACAGATGATGCCAGGGGTTTCTGAGGATGGGTTGGGTCTTCCCCAAAGTCCTGTCCATACCTGCCCTGACCCTTAGGCTCGGCCGTGTGCCTAAATCTTGGCAAAGCACAGCAAGGGGGAAACTTTGCAGATGCTTCAGATGAGCCAGTGGTGCTTTCTTCCTGCAGGAGGAGTCACTGGGACGGAAGCCATGTTGCTGCGCTGTTTGGCCCTCGCCCTCACCTTGCTGATGGTTCCTGGCATCGAGAACAATACAAAGGACGTCTGTGTTGGAAACCCTGGCATCCCTGGCACTCCTGGGTCCCATGGCTTGCCAGGCAGAGATGGGAGAGATGGAGTCAAAGGAGACCCTGGGCCTCCAGGTACTGGGTGAGACCCTACCCTCAGCTGATAGAGTGACCTGTTTCCAAGAGGCCCACCTGTCCAGGGCTCTGGGCTGGGTCCCACGGTCAGCGGGATGGCGGGGTATGGTGGGAGGTGTCTGAGGGCCTTAGACTGGAGCAGCCCTGAGGAGTTTACCCTCAAAGTGCCCATGGGGTGACAGGTGAGTCGCTTCCACTGATAAGGGAGGTCCCTTCACATCAGCCCCAGCCCAGCTGTGGGTGATAAATACCACACACCCATGTCCCCTTCTCCCTGCAGGCCCCATGGGCCCCCCTGGAGGAATACCAGGCCACCCTGGGCCTAATGGGATGACCGGAGCCCCTGGTGTTGCTGGAGAGCGTGGAGAAAAGGGAGAGCCTGGCGAGAGGGGCCCCCCAGGTGAGCAGGACGGGGCAAGCCTGTGGTGCCAACACAGGCCCTGCATCCGCGTGGCCAGTTACGTGAGGGATGACGGGGGTCAGACAGCACCGTGGAGGTCCCCAAAGGGCGTAGCGCTCACCTAAGTAAGAGCAGACGAGGCCGAGGGGAGGAGTCAGAGATGCCCAGGTGCAGGCCATGGCGAGGACTGATGGGTGTTGGACATGCTCCACACATCACGACTGCTGGTGGCACACGCAGGGCATCAGGTGTGCCTCAGGGACAGTGCTGGGAGGCAGGGAAGGCCCTTCCACGGGCTGAGGCCTGGGGGCACTCTGAAAGGAGCATGGGGTTAGGTGGGGTCTAGGCAGGTGATGTGAACGGGACCCCCCCCACGCAGACGGGAACACCAAAGCTCGTTGCGGTGGCCAAGGTCCTCCAGGAGGGTGCAGAGAGAAGCGCGTGCTCTACCCCTCAGTCACAGCAGCCTCCTACATCAGTGTTTGAACCCAGGCTTCCTGGACAACTGCCCACTCCTGACCGAGCTGCTGGCTGGCCATGGGGGGGGGCGGGTGAGGTTGAGGGAGGATGATGGGTCAGGACCAAGGGTAGAGACCATGGTGCAGGCCTGTTGTGCAAAGCAGGTAGGTGATTCCCTGGCTCAGCCAGGCCAGAGAGAGAAGACAGGTGGAGGGGGCCTTGCCTCCAAACCAGAAAAACCCACAGGAGCGGGCAGAGCCACCGAAGGACAGGGCAGGAAAGAAGAGGGGGAGACCCGGCAGGTGCAGGGTGGACAAGGGTGTAGGCAGTGTGGAGACACACTCCAGGGCCTGAGCAGTGGGCATGCAGAGGTAAAGGCAGGATGCCAGGCTTGCCGCTGTCATCGGGCCTGCTTGGCAGCAAGTGGGGATCTTGGTTGGCTTGCCCCTTATCTGGGGGCGGGGATCTCTTGACAGGACTACCAGCTTCTTTAGATGAGGAGCTCCAAACCACACTCCACGACCTCAGACATCAAATCCTGCAGACCATGGGAGGTAAGGGGTTCTCCAGGGCCGTCTAGCACAGAGGGCCTCCCATAAGTCCCCCCATTCCCAGCATCAGGCTCCGGAATCCAGAACCTTGGCAAACAGGCAGGGATGTGCAAGTCTTGGGGGAAAAGAATGATCCTTCCCTTTCCTGATGCCTTCGCGTGGCCCAGAGCAGAGGTAGACACAGATCGGCTACATCAGCGGAGCGTAAGCTCTCGGCTCTATCTTGCTTTCTATTGAGTCTCAGGAAATTGGAGTTTCTGGCACATGATAGAGAGTCACTAAGTAATAGTTAAATGCATGAACGAAGGAAGAAGATGATGAGAGCATGGAGGGGAATTTCGGGAGGCCCGGGTGGGCAGGGGAGGCGAGGCAGCAGAGAGGGCACGAAGACAGGGACTCTGAGCCAGAGCGGCAGGGGCCTGACTGGGTTCCTGTGCTGCAGTCCTCAGCTTGCACGAGTCCCTGCTGGTGGTGGGAAGGAAGGTCTTCTCCAGCAATGGGCAGTCCATTAATTTCAACGACATTCAAGAGTTATGTGCCGGGGCGGGCGGCCAAATTGCTGCCCCAATGAGCCCAGAAGAGAATGAAGCCGTTGCAAGCATTGTGAAGAAGTATAATACTTACGCCTACTTGGGCCTGGTGGAGAGCCCCGACTCTGGAGACTTCCAGTACATGGATGGGGCCCCTGTGAATTACACCAACTGGTACCCCGGGGAGCCCAGGGGTCGGGGCAAAGAGCAGTGTGTGGAGATGTACACAGATGGGCAGTGGAATAACAAAAACTGCCTGCAGTACCGACTGGCCATCTGTGAGTTTTGAGCAGGCCTCTAAGGCCACAGGAGAGATAGGGCCCTGCCTTGCCTTTCAGCCTCCATCCTGCCGATGCCCCCCCGCCCCCAACCGATCTCTGAGATGCTATAGCTCCGTTCCAGCAAAATGGATCTGTGGCTGGCTATCAGAGCGGGAGGCATGCTTAGCCACCCCACTCCCTGGACAGGCCCTGAGTCCTCAGCCACATCAGACATCGGGAATCATGCTGACACTCCCCCTGAGCCCCCTCCCAACACTGCACACCCAGGGCCACCCCTAACTTCGCCCTTTGGCAAGAGTCGGAGATTTCCTTCTTCCTCTTCCTGCCCAGTTCCTTCTTTTCTAGATGGTGGCAGTGAGGCCCTGGGTTGGAACTCCATCCCCCCACCCACACCCCAGATCACACAGGTGCCTGCTTCCTGACCCCCTCTACTCTCACTCAGCAGGCCACCCCAGGCCCAGCCTCATCAAGATTTGGCAGTTCTGGTCAAGTATGATAGAACAGGTGGGCCTAGGGAATTCCAGATGTGTGGCGCTACGGAGGCATGGGGCATCATGTGACCTCCCTCTGAGGGCACCTCTGGTCGGTGTCTCCATGAGGTCAGAGGGCCGGCTGGTGCCGCAGCATGGTGGAGGCCGGCCTATCCTAGTCATTGGCACGTACCATCCACTGCCTTGAGTCTCGGGTTGCCTCTCATCTCCTGACCTAAAAGAAGCCAGTCTACACCCTAGGGAAGATCTCACCCCCGACCTCAGACATAATCCAAGTAATTTCCTGCTGATGGACATGTCCCCACACAAATCCGGATCTCAGTGAGGTGTTCACATCGCTCACCCCACCACTAGCTGTTTACTGAGCACGTAAGTGCCCCAATTCTATGTACGCAGAACCTTGCCAACACTCCTAATACATTTTATGGAATATGAGTCATCTTTACACAATGCCATGGGCCCAGCCTGATTTTCCCCATTTTTATGTGAGGACACAAACTTAGAGAAATTAAATGTTTTGAATTTTATTCCTTGGAGCAAGTGGCAGAGGCTGTGTTCAAACCTATCTACCTGGACCTGAAGCTTATGCTCATAACCACCTCACTCACCTCTGACTGGACAGAGATGATTTAAGTGTAATAAATCATGACTGCGTTAACGTGAGTTTTCATTGCTTTGGTTTCAAGAAACAACACATTTCTTTATTTCTATAAATCAAATTAACACTGGCTCCCCACTTACCCGAAAAATGGAAAATTTGATCTCAAGGCAGCCCGCTTTCCACCCCAAGTTGTAGGAACGTATGGCAAGCTACAGAAAACATCTGGAAGAATGTATGGACATCTGTGTTGATGGCTGGCTTCAAGATCACTCCCAATCTAACTCCACATGGTTCATCTGTGGGTGGGAATACAATGCCTTCCATTTTCCACGTAGCCACCTGAGTTTTCCGTGGCCCAAAGGTGATAGCATTCAGGGCCCAGTCCCAGCCTCTGTGAGCCACCTCAGTCTCCTGTCCACGTGGAAGGGGACCATGTCCCCATGCCCCAGGGATGTGTGGGGATCAGACCATGGCTCTACTTGCTTGAGGGGGCAAGGGACACGTATGTGTCCCTCCTCCAGGAAGGTCTCCCCTCTTTTCCCATCTTTACACTTTCAAATGCCCTCCCTCACTGCATGCACTTCTTTTCTTGGGCAAAAGGAAGTTCTGGATCAAACCCCACAAATCCAGGTGGGAGTGAGCAGAAACATTTCTCACCTTTCTCAACTTTAAGCTTCAATCTGGTCACCCTGCCACGTGTGCTTAGGGCCCAGCCAACAAATTACTGAGTCTTCCCCCAAATTCAAAAAAAGCAAAAGTGGGCAGAGTCTTTTCATTGTTTTATAGGTGAGCAACCTAAGCCTCTGACAATTGATGTCTTCTCATTTCTTATTTGCTTTATTTTTTATTTGATTTATGGTTTATTTACTATGGTTACTGTATTATTTGCATCACTTGAAACTAATCATTCCTGGTTTGTAAGGAAACCATTTATTTTTGTTGATCTTATCTACAACCGTCTTTTGGGATTCTCATTTTTCCCTTAATATTTCTATTATAATTGATTCTCTCATATTTTGTAAATACTATCTATGATTATATTTACAAATCACAGAAATTGTCCTATTCCCTTTAATATTTATTTCTTATATGCCATTCTTATCTCATTATACAGCAGGCTGAGAGGCCCTATATTTTGTTGAAGACCCTCAATAATAAATATCTTTTTGGGGCACAAAGTGTATAATGGGAGCCATTGAAAAGGGTTTCTCCAAAAAAAAAAGAAAAAGAAAAGGGTTTCTCCATTGACTATTTCACCATTGAAAATGTTGCTCGTAAAAAAAATAAAGAAAAAAAGAAAATATTGCTAGTTTCTGATAGATACCTTTCTGTTTTTTTGAAAGATACCTTTTATCAAGGTAAAGAAAGTCTTTTTCCCAGTTTGCCGAGATTCATTTTAATTGTAAATGGGTATTGAATCGTGATTTTCTTTTTAACATTTTCTTTAGTCTGTTAACATCTAAAGGGTGCCGAGCATGGGTTAAGTCACTTCCCACAGTGATGTACTGGCATCTAGAGCTCACAGGTGAGAATAAGAGGGTCTAGGTGCCTCATCATGTAAGGCTGGAGAGATGTCTCAGGAACCAAATCGTGGAACCTGGATGGAGAGGGCTGTTCATGGTGGGTGGCCTAGTAATTCTTTCTCCTTTGGTTGGTATCAGGAGGACTAAAGAGGGCAAAGGAGGCTGACCCACCTTGGGTGACGTGTGCACTTCCATAGTGGAAATGATCCTTTCCATGAGGATGGGGAGGGGACTGTCCAATATCTTCCTAATCTCAGCAAGCACAGATGCCCAAATCTCTTTGCCTTTCCCAATTAAGTCACTAAGGCAGGAATGAGGCATAATTTCCTGTTCTAAAGTTCTAAAGTCCTGAACCAGCAGAGGGCCTCATCTTGTTGGGGAGGGAGAGGGCACGGGGAGGTGGCGATGAGGGGAGGGGGAGGGCGGAGAACCGAGCTGTGAGCAGGAATGTTCCAGGGCCATGTGGATTGCCATCACCTGGATGGAGCTTCCAAGGGGCTATATGGGTGTCCATGTCATGGAAGCTGGCCAGGTTCAAACCCTGCTCATGAGCAGGTTGCTCCTTGGAACACAGGGACTTGAAGACCAAGAATGGAAATGTCCATTCTCCCGATGTTGAGGGTAGGGAACATGCAGCTGGAGCCTCTCACAGAGTCCTGTAATCAGTCATACAAAAGGACCCAACAAGCAATCAGGGCGGGACAACAAGCGGCAGTGTCCCCACTGACATGAGGTTCCTCCTGCAAGCAGGTAATGCCCATTGTTCTCTCTATCCCCCTTCACACACAAACATGCAAAGAAACAAGAGAGAAGACCACTGCCCACCCTTTACTTCCAGAAACCCCACCAACGGCCAGGGTGATCAGAGACGAAATGAAGATCAGATCCCAATGACAAAACTCGTGGACAATAGTCATTTGTTTGGACCATGTTTTAAATCAGCCTTAGAAGGTTTACAATGCAGGGGTCTGGGGAAAAAAAATGTATGAAACACTGTGAGCCCATGTATTCGTTTTGAGAACAGGGAGAGCATCAAGCTTCCAGATTGTACATATTCACTTTAAGACTCTTCATCAAACTTGTTACATGTTATATTAGTGAGTGACATGGATTTATTTTTTGATATTGAACCATCCTTTCATTCCTGGAATCGATCCTCCTTGGTCTAGCGGCTGATGCTCTCATCACACTTACCATATGCCAGGTACTACGCGTACTAACTCATGTAATCTCATTGACCCTATTATGTAGATGCTATTTTTGTTGCCAGTTTACAAATAAGAATAGTGAGGCCACATAGAGGTTAGAGTGATTTGTCAAAGCCCATGCTCATGCAGGGACGGGGCTATGAATACACTAAGTCAGATTCCAGAGGCTGTGCTACTGACCACGGATACGTGGCTGAACTTTAATACCTACCTTCGACCTCTGGCTTTCAGGTGGCTTTGTGTCTGCTCCACATTGTTTAATTGTTCTGATATTAGCAGTAGTGGAGATATGTTCTTCCCATGATTGGAAAATCCAAAAAGAGGCTGGGTTAAACCTGTAAGCACATATAAAGCTTCTGCTCCTTTTGTGTCTGCTCATGGTCACACGGTCAAGCCACCAGGGGGAGGAATGCATGCAGAGTACCCCCCACATCTCTAGGAGCAGGCTCTGTGAAGTACCATGGGGAAGGGCATGGATTTTTTTTTTTTAAGATTTTATTTATTTATTTGTGAGAGACACAGAGAGAGAGAGGCAGAGACACAGGCAGAGGGAGAAGCAGGCTCCCTGCGAGGAGCCTGATGCAGGACTCGATCCCAGGACCCTGGGGTCACTCCCTGAGCCGAAGGCAGACACTCAGCCGCTGAGCCCCCCAGGTGCCCCGGGCATGGATATTTTATTCTACGATATGGAGAAGTAAAATCTCAGAAGCAATGATCCAAACTTCTATGGTCAGATTTGCCAAGTTTATTTATTTTGTTTTTGCAGGGTTTTTAAATATTTTATTAGTAGCTTTATAGTTATGTCCTTATTTGCCTCATTAATTTCATTATTTTAATGTCTATTCTTTCTTTGCTTCTTTCTTTCTTATACTGGCTTTTAAAAAATAGCAATTTCTCTGTTACAGAGAGTCAGCGGTCCTGGGAGGACTCTACTGAGGCTGGCTGTATTAGCGTCCACGCTGCTTATTTCCTACTGTGTTTGGTCATTTTTACAAAATTTTACAAGGGGAACTCAAACTTAGCTGATCTTTATCTGAGGAAATCCTGAGGCACCTATGGTGGACACGCTTGAAAACTATTTTTCATCTTGGCATAAGCAGCAAAATTCAATAATATCTGTCTTAGCAAATAATAATAATAGCAGGCATTAAAACTCAGATCTAGGCGAGGACAGGCTGAAGAATTTGCATCTTCAAGGGAATATCTCTCCCCCAGCAGAGTCAAGTCTTTCTCATTGTCCCTTTGCTCATCTCGCCGGCCTCCTGCAGTTTTGTCTCCCCTGCTCCCCAAGCCACTTTCTCTCTAGTCTGGAGGATAGAGGGTCCTGGCTTATATAATCCTCTGTTTCAAATTCCCATCTTTCTGGGACATCTGCCCATTTGCTGCGTGGGTCGGATGTTCTTTGTCCTCTGGGCCTGGGGCCCTTCAAAGTTGTGTCAATGGCACCAGGAAACCCAGTCCTGAGAGGGGTCTTCTGGCCAGGGGGCCCAAGGAATCTGGAAGGGCTACCGGACGGTGCAGAGTGACCCTGAGTACACAGAGATGATGACCCTTGAGACACCAGAACACCAATCCCAAGGCAGGTGGAAGGGAAGTGGCCCCACCCCGACTCCCCACCAGGGTAAAAGCAAACTTCTCGACGCTGTTTGGTAAGACTAAGTGTTTCAAAGGGTGAGTGCAAATTTTGGAGGAGGGCAGGAATCAAAGGTCAGGTCAGGGGCTTGAAAAATGCCACTTGATCAGGTTCTGGAGATAAGAGGCGGACGCTGCTGGAAACCAGGTGTGGAGGCCCCGTGGACTTGGTCTGCTAGCTGCTCCAGACACCCTTGAACCGGTCTCTGCTCCTGCTCTCTGCTTGTCCCCCCACCCTCGCTCTCTCGGGGGACCCCTCCTGCGTGCCCAGCCCTGGCGTGCATCGTGGAGGCAAGCCTAGCAAACACGGCTCCTGCCCTAGAAAAGTAGCTGGGAACGCGGGCACCGATGCCCGCTTGGGCTGGAGCGACATCAGGGTAGCTGCCCCGATGCAGAAGAGCTCATTCATTCTCTAATTGTTTGCCCAGCCGGGTGACTGCTTCCAGGCACCCTCTGGGTGCGGCCAGAACAGCTGAGAGCAAGATCCCCGACCTGGAGGCGTGCTTGTCCTAAAGGAGGGCGGTGGGCAACGAATGTGCAACTAAAGAAACAGGGCGGTTTTGCCGGGAGGTCACTTTGAGGGAGAATGACTGACGGAGTGGCCACTGAAAACTAAATGGTAGAGGAAAGCCCTTGCCCCCAAGAGAGTAAGCTGTGATGGGAATGACAGCAATGACGCAAAGATGAGGGAAGTGTCCCCGGCTGGAGCAGCTGTGGTGCAAGTGTACACGCCCAGCTTTGAACTTGCATCACCTACAAACACTTCCTCCCCTGTGCCTCGTCCTGGGACATCTGTGCCTCATCCAAAGAGGATATCTGATAAATGTCAGCATTTAATCCCTGCTCCCTCCCCCCCTAACCATAAACCAAACACAAGTGGAGGGGTGAACTAGTGAGAGCCACCGACACAGGGGTGAGGCTGTATGCAGTGGCGTGTGCCGACGGGTGTGTGCTCATGCATGAGCGTGTGTTCGGTAGCATGTCTAATCGTGTATCTTCTAGAAATAAATATCTGGAGGGAACTATTGCCTAGACTGCGACTCTGGAGGATCAGAGGGGCAGAGCTGTGGGGAGGGATGTGTGGGAGGGAACAGCAGAAGGAGGACTTTTAGGGTGTTTAAGTAACCAGCTGCCCAGCGCTGGGCCAGGGACCCCGGCCGCAGCGTTGGACAGCCGCCCAGCGTACAGCCATTCTAGGGACAGTTGTTTATTAATCTGGGGTTGAAGGCCAGTCCAGCACTGTTCCCAGTCACCAGGTTAATTAGGCCTGACATCCCTGGGCTGGAAGACCTGCTTCCCTGCCATAGCCTCCGTGCTTTGAGGAGGCCCTAGTAAGTCATTTCTGGGGGACGGAGGCAAAGGCCCAGGCCAGGGGTCCAGCGGGGATTTTGGTGGGGTGGTTGGGCCTGCTCAGGGCCTGTCTCCGTCTGACCTGGGGCATTTGTATCCTTCCAGGGTCCGCTTGGCCCTTCTGCAAACTAAAGGGTGGTCTTTTCAGCCAAAGGGAAAAATGGAAGTGGGCCATATATGCCAGCAGCATGTTTAAGCCCTGAGCTTGGCTTCTAGGATGATTAGGGGAAGTTAGGAAAAAGGAAGGAAGGAAGGAAGGAAGGAAGGAAGGAAGGAAGGAAGGAAGGAAGGAAGGAAGGAAAAGAAAGGTGAAGAAGTATGTGATCGAGAAAGTTCTCCAACTTGACTTCCCACTGTGTCCTGGGGGAAGGGAAGGGTTAAGGTAGCTGACAGGCCAGGGAAGGCAAGGCCAGATGCAGTGGGCAGGGAGCAAGGGCCAAGGACGCTGGGATTAGAGGCCAGAGAGGCCCATGGGGGCTGGGCTGCCCAGCTCCTGGAAAGGAGGCCAGCTTGAGCAAAAGCTGGATGGGACGCAGAGCCAGGGAGACATCTGGGCAGCATTCAGAGGATCCTGCCAGGAGAAGGAACAAGAGCGGACAGCCGGACAGGTCCAGCGTGAACAGAAATTTCGGGAGCCCGGGTGCTGGCTGGCAAAAATGACCTTTCCGCAGAAAATCTCAAGCCAAGGGAAGGAGAAATCCATCTCATCCAGCCAGGATCAAGTGCCCTCGGGGGCACTCCGGGTCCTGAGCCCCACTCCCACCCCCACTCCCACCCCCAGCAAGGGCCTGTCACACAGTAGAGACTTCCTACAAGATGATTGACAAGCTGCCTGGGAAACAGCTGAGGCTGATCCTGAGGGCAGATGGAGACTGGAATGAGGGCTTTTTGGTGAAATGAGAGAATGGATGCCATAACCCAGGATCGACCATGAAATGAGTCTTGTGGGGCCTCGGGCTACCTGCTAGAGTTCAGTCTAACTTTAGGGTCCGTAGGAAGCAGAAGAGGGAAACTGAGGCACCCTGGGACCTCGGGAAGGGAGTCAAGAAGGAGAAGCCATGGCTCTCACAGGCAGTCAGGGCCCAGGGGAGGGCCAGCTGCGATCGCCAGGCCAGGCGGGGGGGTGAGGGGAGCACGGGCCCTGGCCTGTCTCTCCTGCGTCAGCGGCTCTGTTGGAGTCCCTCTGTTTTCGCATCCCTAAAGCACCTCTGCTACTTTTCATGTGTCTGCGTCCCCAGTAGCTCGGGAGTGACGCCAAGCCAAGAGTCACGATGGCCCCTGCTGGGTCTGCTGCCCGACAACAGGGCCCAGCACGCACAGGAGGTGGTGAAGGCCGATGAGGCAAGAGGGGACACAATGATTTTCCTTGACTTTCTCCACTCGAAGGTTCAGGACCATGTTCTTGTCTTCGTCACTTCCTGTCCTTCTTCTGTGTATGATGACAGTGGCCAGCGCAGATAAAGAAGCCTTGGGCGAGGCCCAGAGGACATGCCCGGTGGTGACCTGTGCCCTCCCGGGCAGAGATGGGCGAGATGGACTCAAGGGAGAAAAGGGCGAACCAGGTACGGGACAGGCTGCTCTGACTTCTGAAATGTCTACGTGGGTAGCGATTCACTCAGAATTGTCCCTGCGATAGGCCATCCTCTCCAAAACAAAGATGCTTCCCTGGTCCTCAGGACCCCACATCTCCACGCAGGAACCCAGGAGGGGCGGTTGCCTGCCGAGAGTGGATGCCCCGCCAGTTCAGGGAACTGGCCCTTGGAACAGGCTGTCCTTTGGAACACAGGATGACTTTTTTTTGGGGGGGGGGGGTCACCACTGGTTCACTGAAGGTTTTCAGGCTCAGTGTAAATTGAATGGAACTTCTGGAGAAAGAGAATGAGCCACAGCCCCTGGATCACTTTTCCTTCCTCTTACAACAGGGCAAGGGCTCAGAGGGTTGCAGGGCCCTCCAGGGAAAGTGGGACCTCTGGGAAACACAGGGGCTCCCGGGCCTCCAGGACTAAAGGGCCACAAAGGAGACCGTGGAGACAGTTCAGGTAAGGAGCTCATCCCAGTGCAGCGTGGGCCCAGGGGACTCGCGGGCCGGTGCCTGCTGCCGACCCAGGACACTCGTCCCCTGAGCGTGTCGCTGGAGTGCAGACTTCCAAACCCTGCCATCCCCTCCCCAGGCCTCTGTGGGAGACAGGCCCTGGCTTCTTCCTCAGCGGACACGGTCTGCGTGGGGCTCCAGGCTGGCGGGGAACAGCGGTGTCCTCTCTCCGGCGCCGGGTTTCTGTCTATTGTCAAAAGAAAGGCGTGAAAATATTCGGTTTCCTAGGCTCCCTGAGCCATGGGCAACCCCAGGACAACGTAGTTCAGAGTCAAATGAAGTACATTGACCTCTTGTTAATATCTGCCAGCTGGCCCATCAAAATCATAAAAATATTAAAAAGTTGGTCTGGAATAAGAAATGAGAGAGAACGATTAAGAATGATGTTCGAGAAGGAGAATAAACAGTTGGGCTTTTTCTTACAAAGGATTATATAATCTTGCAACATTTAAGCAGGATGTGAACAGAAGGACCCAGAGCTATAATGTATGAGTTATTTATCATCATTGTGATTATTATTAGTTCAGAACAAATAGTTTACAAGAGCCGCTAGGTGTATCTCAGAAGCAGGAGTCCCGAGGTTTTCTTCCTTTTGCTGCTTCTCTGTTTCTTCTTTTTCCACAATAATCATACTCTTCAGCAAGCTTTATCCCTCCCTTCTGGCAAAATACTGTCCTCTCCAATTGAGAGTCTTCTTCTCATTAAACGCCCTTCTCCCTCTCACTTTGCAGTTGCTGAGACCAGGCTGGCTAGCCTAGAGAGGGAGATAAGGAGCCTGAAATCAGAACTGGGCCACATCAAAAACTGTAAGTTTGTTTTCTGCCCTGAATGTGGCCTTGGCTCTCACCTTCCTCTTGCGGGCTTCAGGTTTCAGGGAGGGTGAACACAAGCTAAGGTTTAGGGACACTTACTGTACCCCGTGGCCTGGGCGAGGTCAGCATTCCCTCATTCCATCCTTTCACCGGCCCCATCTGTGGGGACGATACCCAGGTTATTTAGGTGAGAAGAAACAGGTCCAGGAAGTATAGATAATTCATTCGCTGTCACACATCTAGGAAGTAGCAGAGGAAGATTCCACCCGAAAGTCGCCACTTGCAGCATCTTGGCTCTTTCTGCAGCAACCCCTGCCTCGGATGGCTATCCATCCATGCCTGGTGCCCAAGCCTGGCAGGGCGGCCTGAGCATGCTTCCCTGTGCCCCCCTTGCGCCGGGACCGTCTGTAAAAGACGTTTGTGTCGAGGGTGGGATCACCCAGAAGGGTGTGAACTTTCTGCCAGAGTCCCGCCCTCTGGCTGAGGAAGGAGGTCTTCCTTACTAGGATCTGACCTGCTGGTTGAGCATGGGGCTCTTTTTCAAGAGGTCTGGGGACTCCTGGGGGCGGGCTTTCTTGCCTACTGTCCTGGGCTGAGTCCAAGCCCAGTCAACCTCTCCCACTCATTGCGATTTCAGTGCAAACCTTCTCCTTGGGCAAAAAGACTGGAAAGAAGCTCTATGTGAGCAATGGCGAAAAGATGTCTTTTTCCAAAGTGAAGGCTCTGTGTGCCGAGCTCCAGGCCACTGTGGCCACCCCTAAGAGTGCCGAGGAGAACAAAGCCATCCAAGATGTGGCCAAGGAAGAGGCCTTCCTGGGCATCACGGACAAGGTGACCGAAGGCCAGTTCATGTATGTGACCGGAGGGAACCTGGTCTACAGCAATTGGAGGAAGAATGAGCCAAACAACCATGGCTCAGGGGAGGACTGTGTGATCCTCCTCCAGGATGGGTTCTGGAATGACATCTCCTGCGAGTCCTCCTTCCTGGCCGTCTGTGAACTCCCAGCCTGATGAGGCAGCTTCCTCAGCCCCCTCCCAGCCTTCCTGCTGTGCTCTCTGCTGCCCTGAAAGAGAATTCATGGCCCCCTTTCCCGGCCCTCCTGGTGTTGGCTCATTCCTTCAGGGGGGTGGGAGGAAAAGTGTTTGTGGGGTGAGGAAGCGAGAAGAGGCTGACAGTGGTCCAGTTGGTAGCACAGAGCACTGCACCGGGTCCGAGGTGGCCATTGAGAGGGCTGGGTGAAACCCCTTTGTCTTTAGTGAGTACACCATGGCCCACCGGGGACCAGTGGGGACCCCATCTGTGTCAGAGCAGTAGACTTCAGCCTCCAGGAGGTGCAGGTGCTTGCCCCTCTGGATGCCAAACATTTCTACCCTCTGTGCCTTCCCATGGCTAACCAAGCCCTGTCGATGACAAGGGTACTGCTCCTAGTTGTTCACGAGCCACACCACGGAACCTGGCACCACCAGACCATGACACCCAGCAGTCTCCCATGTAGGTCACAGGGGTTAGCCCCAGAAGTCCCCTTATCCTGCCCAAGTGGCTGTGGCCTCCCTGTTACCACTAGGGTGATCCCGAGGACAAAGGGCAGCCTTTCCCTCCTACAGACTTTTGGGTACTGGGTGGATATGGTGACGAAGGCCAGCATCACGGGAGGCTGTGTCCCTCTCTCAATCCCTCCATGCTCAACATCCCCTTCCTCCTGTGACATCCTCATCCCAGCCTCGGTTGACAGGTCCATTATGATAGAGACAAGAGGTAAAACTCCCCAAAGGTGAGTTCACACCCTGTCAACTGATGCAGCATCACTCAAACTCTGGATGTCACCCAGTCAAATGATGCAGCACCACCCAGTTAGCAGATAAGACCCCCCCCCCCCCGAGCAGGGTTCTGTTGTTGCCACCTTGGCCAGCAACCCTGCTCAGGACCAGGGATGGTTCCCTGCCACCCCAGCGCAGGTGGAGCTGAGATTTATATAGGGCCCATGCAGCCAAGCGGGAGAGGAAGGTGAATCCCAGCTTCGATGGTACTGCCATTCGCAAAATGAGATTAGGAAATATTCCATGAATGGAACGCGGGCTGCTTTCACCTAATGAAATACTTGTGTGGAAATCCATTTTCTCTGCATCTGAATTACCAGAGAGAACCCCTTGTACTTAGCAAGGGTTTGGTGAGTATCTGTCGAATGGGTAAGGTGAAGAATCTCCAAATAGATGAGTGGTGGGACGCGGAGGGGTGACTAGAGGGTGAAGTTCTGTCCCTGGCGAGCTCCTGCTGCAGGACTCGTGCTGGAGGTGTGGGCACGGGCAGCGACACGGTGGCAGGACCTGCATCCTTGGCCTCTAACACACCCAGACTGTCCCATCGCTGAATTATCCATGAGGCCCACCCCTGGGCACGTGCCTGGGCGCCGCGAGACAAGTGCTATAGTGACGCAGAGCAGAAGAGCTCTCTGTTTTCACTCCCAATCCCACTGCTTACCCAGGGCTCGGGAAAGTGCTTACAGCTTAGGGGCACTCATGGAGCCATAGGTATTGCAGCTGGGAAAAGGGAAGACCAGACGCTTTTTAGAAGGAAAGAAGATACATGTATGACAACCCCGGGCAAGAGATTTTTCTATCAATAAGCATGAAAGGTGCACCTGAATTTTCTCCTGGCCGAGACAAAAATGAGAAAACAGATGCCCACCAGGTATTTCCTCCTGATTTATGTGAGAGGGAGGGGTCACGTCTACCCCTGATTTATACTGGGTACAAAGGAGAGTATCTCTAGCTGGAAAGCAGTAGAAGGTACAACCGTGCATTGCACGTGGGCTCATTCCCCAGGATGCACAGATTGGCTCCTAAGCCAGGGAAACACAGGGAAAAAATCTACAGGACAAGCTCAGGTTCTTCCATTGTCCTTTCAGGATTCCTCTTGGCTTCTTCCCTGATCTAGAACTCAACCATCTTTCCAGGGCTCCTCTCTCTAAAGGAATCCCCTTGCTGCCGTTCTTCCCTCAGTCTAGACCTGGGCCCCCACCCGCCCTCCCCATACCGTGCGTATCAGCAAGCAGTGGGGCGCCGGCAGGCTGGCTCCAGAGGAGGGGGAGCTGATCTACAGATACAGGATCTCACGAGAGTCCCAAGATACAACTTGCACTTCCTCCAGCCTTCCCAGGACCTGGGACAAGAGGGAAATTATGGATTCGCGGTGACTCGAATCTCAGTGAGTCTCTCTCAGTCCCCTAGGGCCGAGGGCCTGCAGTTCCCTTTGCTCTGGGGCAGGCAGTGACTGGTATCTCCTGCACAAAGGATGTAACGAAGCGAGGCGCTCCAGGGACAGACTTTTAGGGGCTCCAGGGAGCACATCCTCGTGAGCCCTGTTGTTTGGTCTGATGCAGCGGGAGTCTCAGCCATAGCATTTCCCAGGTTGGCTTTTGGGACCAGGGAACTGGGAGACCTATCCAAGCGGCAGTTGTCCTTTGCTGCCTCTTGCAAACAGTAAGAACCTAAAGGTCAGGCCTCAGAGTGTTCCTGGAAAGGAGGCTGGTGTCCAAACCTCTGGAGAGTCCTGGCTCTGAGGTCACACCCAGGGGAAGAACAAGGCCTAGGTCTCCGTGTGCTGTTGCGACTGCAGGAGAGGTGCCTTGGCGGGTGGGAAGCTCAGGATTTGCAAGACAGAGCCTGCGGTTTGAGGTTAGTTCCCTGACAACGCGCTGAGGGGTCTGTTGGCTCTCTGGGCCTCAATCTCCCTATCTGTAAATTGGTCTGTCGCGGCTTCTTCCCTTTGAGTGTTGTCTGAAGCAAAGGTGACGTAGGGATTCAGCTCCGCAGCACTGATTTCACAAGCAAAGCTGCAGGATCAGAGAAACGTTGTCAAGTTTTGGTTCCGTGTCAATCACTTTTGTCCAGAAAAAGGACACAAATCATGTCCTGAACACTTAGCACCTATTTCTCAAGTCCTTAGAAAGCCAGTATGAGTGAGTTAGAATGGCAACTGGTCCTTGTTCTCAAAATGGGAACTTTGAATCTAATTTACATCTGCAGGTCAACGGTGTCTGGTGGAAGCATAGACGTGGCCAATGTAATTGCACTTTGCTTCCTGGGCCTGCAGGAAAACAACCACCAAAGCTCACAACGTGCAAGGCCTGGGCTTCAGCCTGAGTTTGGCTCCTGCAATTTCAGGGCCTTGTTCCTGCAGGACGATCTTTCTTTGGAGTCCCACAGCTCTGCTGGTCTCCATCCAGCCGTGCCCCAAGCCAGCGGAAGGGGGACTCGGGGTACCAGCTGAAGGCCTGGCTTTGGCATTTCTCAAAGCCCCTTCCTGCCTGGAACCAGCCCGCCTCCCTTCTCTGCGGCTGTCAGAGATCCCCCAGCGGCAAGGGTCAGTCAGACCACGTGGCGTGCAGAGAGCCTCTGACCTGGAATGTTGTTTGCTCATGACTGTGAACTGATCCGGGGTTCGGAACTTGCCAGGAATCAGGGACTTCCTTCTCATTAACCAGGAAGGGTTGACTGTCACTGTGGGCCTTGACATTGGAGAGGTTGGGAAGTGGATTGTGCAAAAGCGATGCTGCCCCTGGGACCCTGAGTGGCTGATGGAGTGCTGGAGAGATGGGAGGAGCTCGGGGTTCGGAGTCTGGGAAGGAGTGCTCGCCACCCGGGCAGCAACCTGTGACGGGAGGAGACAGTGTCTCCAGCTGTGGACCAGAGGTTTGTCCAGGCAAACACAGGTGTCATGCTCTAAAGAATTGGGAAATAAATAAATAAATAAATAAATAAATAAATAAATAAATAAATAAATATAAAAATAAAAATAAAAATAAAAAAGAAGTGGGTGCAAGCAGCCATTGATTAGCTAAACCAGCGCCTTGGGCTAGGCTGGCCACTGCCACCCAGGGGTCCGGCGTGTTCTGTCCTGGGACGCAGAGTGTTTGTGCCATGTTGTGCAGCCCTTCAGAGTAGTGACCAGGAGAACTGCCTGGGATGCTTGACCAAATCATAGGATCTCAGCTCCACCCTGGATGCGGTGAATCAAACCTTCAGGAATCTGTCATTTTCTGGAGATCCCAAGCAAGCCACGTGAAACCACTGGCCCTAGAAATATGGTCGCTTATGGGGCTTTCTGCCTGCATCTCACCTTTGCAGGGAGGCCTAGAGCCAGGAAGCCAGGACTTCTCCATTCCTTCCTTGCAGGCCCTTCATGAGGTGGTGATGGGGGAAGGGGGGCACTTAACTCCACACTGTCAGAGACCAGATAATGTCCTTCTGTGATCAATGCCCCACTGGTGAAAAGCAACTGCTGACCCAAATCCTTCCCTATGCATTTCCAGAGCCCGACCTTCCAGGGTGTGACTTCAGGGAGTGGGTCTGGGCCTGGAACGGCTCTGAGGAGCCTCAGAGAAGGTGAGGCGCTGGGCAGGTGAGGCTCTGTGTACATGGAATTGTGTGTACATGGATTGGGGGGTATTTATACTTATTTTTGTGCCTGTGTGAATGTCTGTATGGAAACCAACAGACTCAGTGTTCGAAAGCCCCGGCATCCTGCCATGAGGGAGCTGGGCCTGCCCCCGAGCCTGTGTCCAGGTCTCTCTCTGCGTGCCCCTCACTAAGGAGCATCAGCTTGGGGTGGTTCCAAGGGTTCTAAGTGAGGTGTGTGGGTGTTCAGACATGGACAAAGGGGTCCATGAGTGGCCCTGGGCTGTGCTCAAGAGAGATTGTCTGGGTGCTAATGTGATCCTGCTCCCCGGCCAGGATTTGGATGATTTGTCACCATTATGCCCCACCTCCCTGCAAAGTCCTTACCCGACGACTGAACCTAAGTTTGCCTCAACCCCAGGCACCATCACAACACTTCGTTTTATTTTCTTGTTAGCAATTCTAGTCACCTGAAATCATCTCAACCATTTACTTGTTCAAGCTATAGCTGTGAAGTGGGCGCCTGGGTGACGCAGTTGGCTAAGCGTCTGCCTTTGGCTCAGGTCATGATCCTAGGACCAACGATCCCACGATCGAGTCCCATCTTGGGCTCCCTGGTCAGTGGGGAGTCTGCTTCTCCCTCTGCCCTTCCCTCCTGCTTGTGATCTCTCTCTCAAATAAATAAATCAAATCTTTTTATTTATTTATTCATGAGAGACACAGAGAGAGGCAGAGACACAGGCAGAGGGAGAAGCAGTATCTCCGCAAAGAGCCTGATGCGGGACTTGATCCAGGACTCCAGGATCACTCCTTGAGCCAAAGGCAGACGCTCAACCTCTGAGCCACCCAGGTGCCCCAAATAAAATCTTTTTTTTTTTTAAGTTATATCTGTGAAGCAAAACCATTAAGACTCTGGATTCAAACCCTGGCACTACCACCTTGGAGCTGTGTGACCCTGGGCAAGTCACACACATTCTGAGTCTGAGTTCCCTTCTGGTAAAACTAGGATACTAACTGTGGCTCACGGGGTTGTTCGGAGGGATAAACGTACTGACACAAGTAAGGCACACAGGGAGGCCCTGGCCTGCAGTCACTGCCATGCAAACGTTCATTCCTGCTGCGGTTGTGACTGTCACAACACTGGACCATTCCCGCTCGCCGTCCCAGGGCCCGGGAAAGGGCTGGAAAGTACGTACGGTCGGTGGCTGTTGAATGAACAAGTGAATAACTGAATCTCAACCCTGCCCCAAAACGTGTGACCCGACCTCCTGCCCTGGAACTGGACTCCAGAGAGAAGCAGCCAGACTTGGTTTGAAACATGGCTCTGGGCCCACAGCCTATGGCTGCCTGCTGCCCTCTGCTGTCTGTCCTTAAGAGATTCCTGGGGAGCAAAGAGTGGAGGGCGGCGTGGGGTATAGGTTAGGCCCCTTAGACAAAGGAGCCCTTTGTCTGCAACTTGAGGCCTCCTCCGTCTGCCCTTCTGCTAGGCCTTTCCTAAGGGCCTCTACCCTTTCTGGCCAGATCCCGACGCACACTCCCTCCGGGT